TCTCCATCAAAATACTGAAGAACTGGGTCTGTGGTGGTTGTTAGGAATACTTTTACTTCTTGGACGGTCTTGTCATCAGACTCATTTCAGACCCATTCAGTGTTCTTCCTGAGCAGTTCTCTCAGCGGTAGAGCCATTTGTGGCAAATACTGTGGCACATATGGCTAAGCAACACACATTATAGTTTCTAGATCTGATCTGAACTTTGGGGTTTCTAGTTGCTTTATTGCTGCAATATTTTCTAGGTCTGGTTTTATCCCTTTAGCAGGCTGTGTATGACCAAAATAGCTGCACTGTTGATGCCAAACTGCCTCTTATTTGGATTTAATGTCAAGTTGTTTTCTCTGTACTTGTCCAATTATGTTTTCAGGTTGCTGCCTTAGCTTTCTTCAGTGAAACCATGCACAAATATGTCATCAGTAATGACTTTAATATCCTGCAATGCTTCCAAAACTTTATGGGCTTTTAAAAGTTTAAATTTCCTGGGCTGAGAAAATTTCAAAAAGGAAAGTGCCAGTGACCAGATGGGGAGTTAAAAGTTGCCTATTCATTGCTTTCCTCATCTAGTTTCACTGGCCAGTAACTTGACTCTGCATCCAGTGCACTAAAATACTTGGCTTTAAACAACTTGATTGTATATTGTCTAGTGCAGGCATTTTGTAGAATTCTCTCAATGATGACCTGATCTAAGTCTCTTGGCTCTAAACAAATTTGTAACTGCTTAGAGTTTTCTTCTCAGTGGCTACCACAGAGCTTGCCATTTCTGTTCATTTGGTTTCACTAGCATTCCCAAGAGTTCTCAATTCTCTGTTTATGTGCAATAGGAAGTCTTCTTAGTGTACTGCTGGTTTCAGCTTTATTTGACACTATCCTAGTGCATAGCCTTCACCTGTAAACACATTGGCTGCTACAGCCTTTGACGGAAATTCTAGTAAGCAAGCTGAGATGAATAGGCACAGACTTAACATCATTGGCCCAATCATATGACATCAGGTGGAGAAGGTGGACCAACTGAGAAGAGTTTAACATCCCAGGTGATTGACCCATAAGCAGCATGATCCACCAGTTAGCTCTTTTTGGTTTGGAAGGGAAGTATCCAGTTTGGAATTAACTTCATATTATTAAACTGCTTTTCTCTAATGACCAGTATTCTAACTTCACTTGTGTCTTTATTGACTTTTGCAATACTTTATTTGGTACCACACAGCCAGCCAAGCTGGTCAGCTTTAACGTAAGAAAGTTAGGAAAATGTTGCTCTGCTTTGCTTGTAAGGAGTGGGAGAAGGCCAGCCCACAACATCAGCAAAACAGTCATTTACTTTTCCTTTTGTTCATTTCATGTGTTCTGGGTTCACCAGTCTCACAACCTTTATTGAATTTGGTAGCTGACATAAGCAGTTTCCCTGAACTGCTTTTGTGGGAGTTTCCGGTATATAAAATTTTAAAGGATGAATAGATTTATTGTACTTGCTCTTCAAAGTGCATTTGCCTGCCATATTTAACGACTGTCTTCCATATCCTGTTAAGGTTGGTATATTAGCTGTTTCTAGGTCCAACTCCTATGCTAGCATTCTGTACTGCTGGTATGTAGTTGACATCAGCTACTAAGTCCAGTTTGAACTGAATAATTTTCTTATATCTGCCAACTTTTACATCCACATTGGTTTTTGTTCTTTGTTTGCCAGATGCCAGAAACACTGTGTGCTGCCTCTCGCTTCTGGAGGTTTCTGTCTGTTGTCTCAGACCTTTATTCTTTGCAGTGCATACTTATGCAAAATGATTTCTCTTTTGTAATTATGGCAATTTGCTCTTCATGAAGGACATTTCTCCATGTTTGTGTGTTTCTCTGCACAGCTTTTACAAGTTGTTGCTCCCCTTTGTTGATCACCATGTGTGTGTGTGCGCGCGTGTGCATGCAACAGAGAGAGAGAGATGCTAAAGGGGGACTGATTGTAGTGGTGGTGGTGGTGATGATATTGTCTCAATCTTTCACAAATGCACAAAAGCAGGGATTCTATTTGCATACTTTCAAAGCTCTGGAAAAAAGAACAGGTGTTACCAAGAATGGTCCTTCCAAGTGCTGATTTGGCATCAGTGGAGGGGCAGTCACTAGCAAGGCAGGCGGAAGGCTGGAGGCACCACTGCAAAAATGCAAAAAGCAGCGTGAGATTTTTTGGCTTTTAGGACAAGCCATGCTGTCATACTGACACTGACAAGGCTCACAACATACTGTGGTTTATGGGGGTGTAAATACCCAGTCCCTGTGTTTGAAGCATACTAATGTAGTCGGGCCACACTAAGCAGAGAGCCATGGCTAAGTGCTAGAGCACATGTTTGCATCCCAATGGTCTCAGGTTCAATTACTAGCATCTCCAGTTTAAAAAGGATCAGGAAGCAGCCAGGGGAAAAGAGTTGTTTCTGTGACCCAGAAGTCTAGCTGCCAGTCAAAACCAAAAATGATGGACATACAGTCTGATCTGGTATAATGCAGTGTCCTTTGTTCTTAGATCCGAATACCTTGTTTGGCTCAGTTTCTCAGAGATTAAGAATGAAGGACTGTCCACACTGGTCATGACAGCTTGCTAGACCAATGTTTTCCCAACACCTGCAGTGTGGTTTGCTTAGCTAAACTGCATGTTTGTTGGATTATTTACACGGCATCCATTCGACAAGTTGCTGCCCTTTGTAATTGTGGACCACTTGTGATTTATGTTGTACTAGATTGATTTGAGATAGCCCTGCTTGGGGGCAAGGAAGCTTGTTATGCAGTATGAACAAGCTTTACTGTGCATTCCACCCCACCTCTACTTTCCCAACCCTGGCCTTGCATTTAAGGAACCAATCCAGCTGACATGATCATCAACTTGTAGGGTGACAATTATCCGATGCAGAATGGGAGGAGCAGAAAAGGCAAAGTTTGCCTTCCTTCACCTCCCATTCTAAATGTTTGCTAGATGTACATTGTCAGCTATCTAGTTGAGGAGCTTCAGAAAAGGAAAGGAGGATGTAGAGGATACAGAATCCATTATGCCCTACTCGTAGCTTGGCAGTTTTCCCCCAGCCCACCAAAATGCTCCCTTTATCTCCTTATTGAGGCCAAATGGCTGACTTCAGAGACTCAGGCCGCATGGTTCTTTCCATGCCAGCTGCAAAGGGTGAGCAGAAGGAGTGCAGATTCCCACCTCTCTGGGCAGTTCACAAACTTTGCAGTATGCTGGGCAAAAGACAGATTTTGGCACAGTGTAACAACTCTTGTCCTATCATAATAAGTGGATCCCTTCTGGTTTTAACATAAGTCACAGTTCTGGTCCTAAACCCATGTAATTCTATCGGCCAGAAATGAGAGCCTGCATGAAATCAGTCTGGGAAAACATTTTTATGGTTTTCATTTCAGCTAAGGGAACATACAGAATGGAAGATGTTTCCCTTTGCTTTTGTCAAGCCTGTGTCTATTCCCTCTCCAGCTGTTCTGTATGAATCAGGAGTTTTCATCACTATTACATATCAAGAATGAATTATAAGAAATGTACATTGCAACACAAAACTGAATAGTAGAATTCATATGCAGAGACACAGCTCATTTAAAATTTCTATTGCTTTATACAAAATTTAGACCTGCCCCATATCTGTAATTACTATGTTCTGTTTAGTGTATGAAATTCAGAATATGCTTTACATTAAGCCTCTCACTACTAAATGGCAGGTGCATATATACATGGACTGGGTTCAATATTGCAAATTGCACCAAGTTTTTATTTTATTTTTACATGAGAAAGGGCTCTTGTACTGAATTGGAAACATCACAGTAATTATCCTTTACAAAAGCAAAGTAATCCATATGTAAAATAATTAAAAACTTAAAACCTATTGGCGAGTCTTTGGTGGCACCTGTGTAGTGGTGCCTCTTTGCATCATATCAACAAAGGTATGACTCTGCATTTTCTCCAGCCATAAACTTTCTTATGTGTTCAATTCCATGTTTGCTTTTAAACCAAAATTTCACTGAAGAATTTAAGAGGAAGGGATGAGCAAAGCATAACATGCATAAAGGTCCCCCAGAGACTTGATCCTAGAAGCACAATGTCAGACATTTGCTTTTCAGAACTGATTGTTTTATACCCTTGAAGAGCCCCCAATAACTCTATGTTTACAGCACATATTTGCCAACTTAAGAAAACTAGTTTTAAGAATGCCAACATCATCATCATTGACAACAGCAATGATTCCTAAGTGAGATATCTATAAAACTTTATACAAGAAACCATAGAAGTACATGTTTAAGCTATAAACAAGTATGTATATTATTTTCCAACATTTAAAAGCACTTGTAAAAATGTTTAGCAATCTGTATTAATTCTGTTGTTGGATGAATAAACATACTCATTGCATTTGCATTATATCTTTCCTTTAAGGCCAGTTACAAACTGGCGTGATTTATTTGTAGTTTAATTTAAACTACAGCTTTCATCAGAATGAAATGATACTATCAGGAAATCTGATAGGAAGTTGAAATCAATAACAAATATTTCATTGACAATTACATTAATGTATATATATATGGAATAGCATAATCTGCAAGATTTAGCCTATATACATTTTCTGAGTTTGCTACTTAATATAAATCAGTGCATACTATGTCAAATCTCATTCCATTGGTGAATGTTGCTGCTGCTGTTGTTTACAAGGAACTTGGATATATTACTACAGAATCCTAACAAAGTTATGGTAGCCCCAAGCAAGGTAGGTTTAAGTCCAAGTGCCTGATGCCATTTTGCACATTTTACTGAGAAACCATAACAGGCTGTTAAATCTTCTCACTGTCAGAAAAGAATCTTGATTCTTTGTTACAAAATTTCCAGCACGATACCAACACAGACGAGAACCATTGATTCAGCTTGGCTTTATGATGTCAATGAGTTCTTGCTAAATCATCTTTTGGGTTTTTGAAATCATGGAAGATTCAGTGGTGTATTTCCACTTTTTATGTTCTTGATGGAATATTTATAACAACAAACAAACTCCAGATTTGGAATCATCTCCAACTAGTCTGTTGGGATTATTCAAATCTTCAAAGAGTCCTGTTTCAATAACTTCTTCCTGCCAGGGTATTGGGATAGCACCAGTTGCAAATTTCTTGAAGAATTTCTTGTCTTTATCATCAAATTCAATTCCACGAACTTCAGAGAAATCAGCAATGTCTGCAACATCTTTGGCATAGACAACAGATGGATCTGGCACAAAGGGAGGATCTATAAGGCCTGCCTCCAGCCGATGGAAGTTGATTGACTTGAAGAAAGGATGTTTCCTGGGATCGTCGTCATTACTCCTGCAGTAAGAACAAGAAGATATCACTAGCAAGAGAAATCTAGTTCTGAATTACAAATGTAAACTCAAACAAACAGACATTAGGTATACAGTAGTCCCCCGAAATTCATGGGGTTGCATTCCTAAAGCACCTGCGAATTGTAAAAAACCGCAAATTGTGAATGTGGTAAAGGTTCATTACAAGAAGCCTTAGACAGGGGTCCTCAAACTTTTTGAACAGGGGGCCAGTTTAAAGGTGCCAGTGATGGGTGGGCCGCCAAGGCGGTGAGGGCGGGGGGGGGGGGTTGAGCTGGGCGCATGCAGTGATTGTTTCCTCTGAGTGAGTCCAAACCGATCTCCTTGTGAGCAAGCTGCCACATGGCGAGGAAAATTCCGCGAAAGACTGAGGCCGCAACTTCACGGGGGTATGCTGTATTCAATTGTTGGATCAAAGAGAAATGCACAAAGACAGTTTGATTTCTCCTTTGGTTTTCTAGGAACTAGAGACATTGGCCAGTCAAAGGAGGAAACACTTTTCTACTTCACAGACCAAAACAAAATCCCGCATTCCAAAGTAGGTTTATTTAGAAGACCCATCAGGCAGTATCCAGTGGGGCTGTGATGCTCCTGCTGATTGTCTTGCCCCAACAGGAGTGTCCATTGGCACAACAGGGATACAGCATTTCATAAAGTAAGCCCTGAAGCAGTGGAAATGCTAGTTTTCAGATTGGGACCAGTCAGCACAGCTCTCTTCCATAAACTCCACTAACCTGCTATATTCTGGAATTGGCATTTGCACTCATTTTGGCTTGTTTCATGAAATGCTAACCCCCATTGCACACGCAGTTGCTGTTGCTGACATGTGGGCACAATAGCCTATTTCCCATTGGCTTTAATCAATCATGTATGGAAAATTCTAAGCATCAGCATCAGTCTTAACTTCAGATATGCTGTGTTACTTAAACCAGAGTTAAATTCCTGTAAGTTTAATAAAGAGTCTCACAATTATCACAAGGAACTTGTCCATGTGTTATAGAAATTCTTACAACACTCCTCAAACAATTTGTAGCATGGCTTTACGGTTGTCAAGATCAGAATAAAGCTATATTAAATATAGAAGAACCCTGAAAGCAGAATCTAAAAGCATTTCTAATGCAAAATATGAGGTCCAAATGGTGTGTATATGTGTTTCAAATATAATTGCTTCGGTTTCTTCTTGCTTTTGCCTTTTATAGCTTAGAAGAACAGTTTACAGTGGGTTCTCAAATACTTCCATCCAGAGACATTCACCAAGTTCAAAGTAGAAAAATACTAGACTCTGTTAGATCATTCCCTTGTCACCAATATCTGTCTTCCTTTGAATAGTCAAGAAGGCAATGTACCATATAAAGTTTCACAATAAGCAGCTTATAAGACAGACTCCTAACGATATTTAGCAGGAAAAGTCTGTCTTTGCCTTTTGGGACTGCCCAGTGAAAATGTTGTGTTGCTTGAGTTGTCATTCCGCAGTGTTTGGCTCATTCCTGAGTCTTTGGACATTGCATTTCTGAGTGAGGTGGTGGAGGATGCATTATGTCTCTCGTATACAAGTGCCAGAAAATGAACTAGAGTAGCCAAAAGCCCTACTTTGCAAAGGGCAGACCTCCATTCAAAGGACTGTCCTGTCTAGCTCCAATTTAATGATAAAAAACTACAAGAATGGAGGCCATGTGCCTGAACAGACACACAATGGTGAGATATACTGTGATTCTATTGAAATTAGAATAATGGTTTCTAAATTTGCGCCTATAGATATAATCTTTATGCAAAATCTCCCAAAAAAATTACCCTCCCATTTTTTGGATCATATATTTCCACATTCCAAAATCTTCACCCTTCCCTTTGTTGGGTCATATATTCTGTTTGGTCTCACAGAGGCACCATGAAAACTATAGTACACTTTATTGATATTGTGGTATATTTTGAACTTGGTAGAATATTTGTAAGACTGTGACTGGCTTCGCACAATCATGGGAAAAAGTAGCCATGGCAGCTTGTTTTCCTCACCTGTGTGTATCGGTTGCTCACTGAAATTTGCCTAAATAGCCTAAATTTGCCTAAATTTGCTCACTGCAATTTGCCTAAATAGCCTCTCAGGCAGCGAGGTATGTGGCAGGGAGTGGGTTTGAAATCACCCCAAAACACTACAACAATCCAGGACTCTAGTGTGGCAATGAAGCTACTCCTACCATGCATCTCACCAGGCTTGGATAACATGGGAAGCTGTGAGCCACAGGGCATGTGACTAGCATGTGGAGGGCAGGGGGAAGAGGCCGCCATGGTTTTTTCATCTGTGACCATGCAAACATAGGGTAAAAAAATTTTAAATCAATGAACACTGGTGCAATCCATTGCCAGCTCTAGTGTTTGGAAGGCCTGGCACACTCAATGCCCCACAGCCCTCCTGCACCTACTTTCTCATCACTATAATCACCACCTCCTGGTGTTCCTCAGTCTCTTTCTCATTGCTTGCTTCAGAGGCAGAGCACATGCCGCTGCTCCTTCTCACCACCACCACTATTGCCTGGGCCAAAGCAAGAGGCAGGTGAACAAGCAGGTTGCAAAAGTGAAAAGGAGGAGCAAGTCCTGGGGCTCCTATCAGTCACCCCCTGCTTGGTTGTGGGCCCTTGGCAGGTGCCCAACCGTGCCTACCCATGTTGCCAGCTCAGGGTATAATTGTACATGTATGCATGTGGGGCAGGTGTGTGTGGGGGGGAGCCTAAGCAGTGAAAATATTACAAATGATCTTTAGCATCATTACAAATTATTTAATTAATTTATTTATTTGGGATATTTCTAGGCTGTCCAATCACTCTGCGTCTCTGGACGGCTCACAAGAATTACATGTATTCTAATCTGGGAAATGTTGCCGAGTATGCATAGAGTCCTGGAGATGGGGCCACAGACCAGGAATATAGTTAAAGGCCAAAACAAAGGTCACAGATACAGGGAAGCACTCAGCATGAACACTGGCATTTGGAGAAGCTACGAGTAGGAAGAAAGGGGAGCGCCTTGCCCTTGCCTTCCTCGATGGAGGACTGCAACCAGAAATTCCAACAGAAATGCAAGACATTCTCTCAGAACAAGCAAAAAGGTGTAGAATTGACTATGTAGGCAGTATTTTCACCATTTGCATTTCCACAAAAATAGTCTGATACTACTCAAATCCAGTCCAAACAATATACCGTAAAACATGCAGTGCTTCTCTCATGCTAAAGAACATGATTTCCTCTCATCACAATTCTGTAAAATAAGGTTAAAGTAAGAAAGAGTGAGACTTTCCTGTTACTGTCCATGTGATAAAAGCACCCATGCTCTGATCTAATCCAAGTTAAGGGCTAGAAATCTTGCCTCCTTTAAGGTCTGTGGGGTATCATACACATTCCACAGACTCTCTAGTTTGGACATCCCCCTTTGAGATCCCATTTGCTGCTTGTCTGTGAGTTCAGTGCCAACAGGCTGTGGTAAGGAATAAAATTTTAAATAAAGCCGAATAGCCCTCCCCTACTCCCTGCTTTGTAAGTGACATTTTAGCACCATCTC